TGTTATTTATTTATGTGTTACTTAATTTATTCAATTAAATGTTATTTTATATTCAGACTGAATCTAACTCAATCTTTCATGTTTCATCAATTTCAAACTATATTTTTTTTACGTATTGACTCTTACTTTGCCCTTTAGTTATTATTTTTTATTTTTCATATAAAGAGTCCTTTTATTTGTTAAATATATATTATAATAGGATTATAATTTATATTATAATAAGTAAATGAAGAATTAAGATCCTTTGAGTCTGATTAAATGAATCTAATGCTATTAGATGATAAATAAGCTTCTTATTCTGAAAAAAACTATCGTTTTGTTAAGTATCTTGCAGAATGAAGTAATGCTTGTGCCTTGTAGACTTAATGAGCAACGCTCTCGCGATAAAAAGACGTAATAAAGACGTGAATAAAGAAATATTTCATTCTTTTTGCGTGTAACGTATCGCCTACGTTTCTATTAGCGTATCAACTATAAGCTTTCAAGTTTGTATTCCTCCGAAAAAAAGAGAGCCGTTCATTTTAAACGGTTGTCGCATCGAAAATTTCGCAAAATTGTTAGCTGACCGCGATTAAGTAATTCCGGCTAACTTAATCGTCAGCTTAAGCTGTTCTCATTCATTTAAAACAGCCGTAACGCCGGGTGCATAAGTTACCGTTGGATGCGTATAAAAGCCGGCGTAATAATAGTAAGGGTCGTTGTCCTCGTAACCCTTTTGATGTCTCTGCGACGCTTGCAGTATCTTATTATAATCTTCAAGTGGTAGCACCATTACTTTGTGGGAAATCGTTTGCACATCATTTGAATCGCTATGCTTCGATTCGAACAAACCGCCCTGTGAATAAATAAATTACCATTAGCTTTTATATTCAAATTTACTGATGTGTAATACAGTATGCGCCAAAAAAAAATGCGACTCTCATAACTAACACTTCAGTTGTCGGTTTAGTTAAATAAAGTGAGTGGACGGGGACAAATTTAATTATAACACAAATATTTTGTCCTTCTACTAAATATTTATTCGATACGATTTCCTTTAATTGCAATCACTGCGTTACTGTGTCACACTCAGCAAACATAATAGTGATTAAAAGAAAGTCGCATTTTTTTTGGCGCATACTGTATAAGAGCAATAATTTATCGTTGTGCGATTTTTTAATATAGCTTTTTCAATATATTTTGATAATCGTAAATCGAATTAAATTTTTAGTATATACTTCTACTTTTAGGGCTCATCCATTCATTAGCCACATTGCGTTATGATATCAGAAAATAAATATAATTTTCTTGTATATCAAAATTTATTTGATACATCTACAGTGCAGAAATGAATTTATGTGATTTTTTAATTTTAACGTTATAATCCGATATGACAGTAGAGAATGATTAAGAGCTTTAGAAGAATAATTTTGAAAATTTGTACGCTAAGCACATCTTTTTTAGACATTATATAAAAGAAAAATTACCGGAGGATTTAGGCTGCAGGGTGGTTGTAACTCCTCGGGACGGTAGAACCATTGAGATCTGACTCTCATCTCTAATTTCTGGTTCAGCCACAGCGACACAATCTTGCCGATGTAGGGTTTTTCGTGAGGTTTTCGATAGGAGTAAAACAATACACTGTCGCCTATATTTATCGTTTCTCTGCCGCGTCGTATAGCTGTGAAATATTGATTTCCACCAGATACTCGACTGCTGCTCGCCCATTTCCAATGGCGTTTGTTAGGCAACATCCGGGCTATTGGACTGGGAGTCTCGACGGGATTCGATGGGTTGGCCACAGTTGTTGGATTAGAAGCGCGATTCTTCGAGCCTCGACTCGCGGAGCTGTTATTCGTCGAACTCTGTATCGTCGAAGCGTGTCTTGTCAAAGCGCGATTCGTCGTTGTGCGATTCGTCGAAACGCGATTCGTTGTTGTGCGATTCGTGGAACCACGAGTTGTCAAAGCGGAAGTCGTCGAAGCTTGGTTTGCAGTGCGATTGTTCGAGACACGATTTGAGGAACGATTTGCCGGTGCCTTCTGCTGAATCTTTAACTTCTTTTCGACGGGTTCTGGTGGTTCCTCAGGTTCTTCAGGTTCCTCAGGTTCCTCATTGTCCGCTTGAACATCTTCTGACAATTCTTCGGACTTCGTCTGAGGCTCATCGCAAACTTGATGAGGTTGTCGGTCATCGGGTTCCGTTTCTTCCGAGTCTACTTGAGTCTGTTGGACAAGTTCTTTTTCTTCAGGCTCTGCTTGAGTCTGTTGAATGGGTTCCGACGGTTTTGATTCCATTTGAACATCGTCATCTTTTTGGACTAGTTCTGACGGTTCTTCAAGCTCTGTTGGAGCCTCGTTATCTTTTTGAGTAGTTACTAACGATTCTTCAGTCTCATCATCTTCCTCAGACAACCTCGTCTCCTCGATAGCGGAGAAATTTGTATTCGGCAAATCTGTAATTGCTTCTTCCTCATTCCTCTGCTCCCAGCTGTTCTCTTGATTGCTAAAAAATATTTTAATATTTCTGATAAAGATATTAGAAAAACTCAGAGCTGAAGTAAGATTAATCCACAATTTATAACTTATTTTAAATATGATTTTGTATTCAAGATAAATCTTAGAAATTAATAATAATTATATAATTATATATATTTGAATCTGTGTTTTATATTCTTTGTATACGCAACACATATTGTAGTAAGTAAAACTTTTCTTATCTTTGATAGTTTGATACATTTTATATACATAATTTTTACATGACAGATTATAATAATATACATATGTATACGTACCTTACGCTGTTCGCGTCGCCAACGCTACTATGATGCCTGTGTTTATGCTTTCGATGTTTTCTGTGTTTATGCTTTCGATGCTCCTTACAGGACCTATGCTTTCTGTGCTTCTTCTTGCCTTCTTGAGCCTCTAATAGCTTCCTATTCTTTTTTATTTTCTTCATGTGCTTCTTCTTACGATATTCCGTACCGCTCGTACTGCTCGTTTCAACATTCGTTTCAGTCTCAGCCTCGGCGCATTCGTTGGCATTTATCAATTCTATGTTAGAAACGTATGAACATGTGGCGAAGCTGTTGTTGCTAGCTGCCACATTCCGAGATGTCGACGGAACGTTGTGACTGTTTGATGTAATAATTTGATTGCTCACGGAACGTTTGTCTTCCGAAGTTGATGTTTGCCGTCGTCGTTTGCCCAATGAGAGTAGAGGATTCGGATCGTACACTGTAGATGAAAATAAAAATAGGAGATAAGTTGCCGTTTTATAGAATAGAAGACTTGTATATTTTTATTTAAGCTTTAAAGATATGTATATGCAAGACACGTACCTACGACAGGATAATTAGGTTGTAAAAGTCTGATGTCGTCCAAGACAATTAAACCACTGTCTCCATCGTCGAATTCCACGGTAACAAATTTCTCGTCTTGTTGTGGATCAGGTACTATAGGTTTCACAGAAGTTCCCGGGTATAAGCACCTATACTGTTGACTCCAATACGCGCATAGTCTCGTACCGGGTGGTAGCTCTTTCGTCGAACTCGGACACACTTCCACAATCTGTGATAAAATATTTTTACTCTCAAATATATATATATTTCATATTTTCTTTCTCTTACACTATTAGATATTAAAGGAGCTGAATCCCTTGAGTTAAATAATATTTTAATATTTTTAACTTCTATGTGTGTCAAAATGTAAATCAAATTTTAATAAATAATATTAAAAAATATTAATATTCCAGAACCTCGTTACGTCAAAGCATTAATGGGTACAAATAATTAGTTATTAATTATTAACTATAATTAGTTAATTTGAATTATAATACTAATTAAACCTTTAATAATATCAATATTTTTAAGTGTATTCTTTAAATGGCCCAGTCTCTATATGTGCATATGTAACTTGTTGCCTTATGATTATTTTATGAGTTTTGTATGTCAAAATTGATTGTTTGACGTCTTTCTATTGTAACAATTGCATAATTGGCCAGGCATATATAGGTGTACTGGAAAAAAGATTGGTTGCTGCAGCAAATTAGATGGTAAAATATGGCATTTTGAATTGGC